AAGAGAAATGTCACTCACTCTTTATATCATCGAATATGTAGTACGGAATGCGTTGATGAAGAACTCGCATTCCTCATGAAAACTTTGACCAAAAATGGCTATCCAGACCGTTTCATAGAGAAGAAGATGGAAAGAAGTAGTTGAGACAAAAATCTGGTTGGTCCTTCTCAAAGAAAAACCTTTATATAAGTTTGGAATTTAAAGGTGGTCGAACATCTGGTGTAATCAAAAGTCGTTTAACGATAGCGATTAAAAGGACATCTAATCCGGCGAAACTGCGAATAACCTTCACTAGTAGGAACTTATTTTCTGTATCCATAAAAGATAAGCTTCCACGTTTTGTCGCCTCTATGTGCATCTAGCAGGTCACCTGCTCTTGTGGAGCAAGGTACATTGGCCGTAGCCAGCGCTCGCTTTCAACTTGGCTACGGGAACGCGTTCCAGTTTGGTTCTACAAGGGTGAAAGGAAAACAGTTAGGAGTTCTATAATTGAACACCTAATGGACTATAACCATTCAACAGATCCACAAATTGATTTTAAGTTTGTTTATATGATTCGTTCAAATCTACCCAGATTTCTTCGTATCCAACTCTTAAAAATAGACGAAACTCTTACCATCCACGAGCTCAAATCAAAACTATGCGTACAAAAGAAGTACGTCTTATCGTTATCGTTACTTTGGCCTTAGTTTAGTATTATTATTGCATTTCTCCTTTTACTTATGTCTAATATTCTCATCATTTTATTCACAAATGCTCATCATATCACCTTATTTATTTTTACACCTCTATGACCTTTACTTATTGTAACAAAAATATTTTAATCATCTTATTATATTCATTAAAGGACTAGTAGGTCCTGGGTTCGAATCCCACGAAGCGAGGTTGTGGATGCGTACTGCTGAGGAGTCTCATCCTAGGACGAAACGGCCGTCCACTGCTTCCAGGTTTTCCATAGTGGTCTAGCTTCAATTAACTCATGATCCCAACTATTGAAATTACTACAATTTCCACACAACCCCTTCTGATACTAAAAAACTGAATGATAATAATCATTCATGTCTTCGAGTCATAACACCAACAACGACATTCCTCATCAGTATGATTTATTCATTATTGTGGATATAATGGACGTTCACATACCCATGACATCTTACATAAAGCAATACAAACAACTCATCATCATCATTTCCTATCACTTCTTCCCTCTTTCTCTTCTCGTGAATTATTGATTAGGTATCTGAGTATCACTAAAGTGTGCCAAATTGTGTTTAGATCAAATTAGACAGAAAAAATGAATCATTGAATGTCTTTAAACTGGAAAAGTAAAAGCTCATCTCTATTCAATAAGAGTAAAATAAATCAATTTATCAATAACTAATGCAACAAATATTGAAAATACTGATGTACGTGTATTTGTACAGATAGGGGTGGTGGTGGTTACAATCATGGTATAAGAAATGTCTGCCTATCACTCACCCATTGATCAATTCCATTTCATTTCAATGATGTTCATCAAAGATTGAATGGTTTTTTTCAGTTTTTAGTAAAATGAAAAAAAGGATCAAAAATCGTTTGAAATAGAACTCACTCAGTATACACGAATGAGTTTGGTATTGAATGCATGAATTAACTAAGATACAGTGTTTAAGAATATTCATGATTTACTGTATTGCTAATAGATTCTCTTCAACAGTTTACAAATCATGTTCTATTTAGAATCTGATGATGAATTGCAATGCATCTAGTCATGTGACGAGTGAATATCAGTCGGTGCAGATCAACATGACACGTAGACTCATTGTCTATGACTACTGGGTACATTACACAAAACGTGGATAAAATTTCGGTGATTGTTCAAGTAGAAAAGAGAAGGAACACTTAATCAAAGTACGAAAGTGGATAACTGAGACAAGAGGGAGTCATGATGATTAAAACTATGCAGTCTGATACAGTCATCATTAGAGATAGTGGATATTTGTTGTTTTATATCAGGAAGTAAATAAAGACGGAAATGTGTATGACAGGATGACGACTCAGTGGTCTACTAGTTAGGCACTCACCATGTGATCTGGAGGTCTCGATCTCGTTCTCCGATAGCATCGTATGTTTGAGTAGTCTCAGCATACGATGAATAAGCTGTTCCCTGTTTTTCACTTATAAGTTGACTGAGGTCAGTATATGAAGAAGGTGATCTCCAAAAGCGTCTCCATCAAAAAATAAATTACTGGCTGAATTTTCAACATCATTGAATGAGGGAAGGTTTAGCAACGATGTGAGAGATCAACAGAACATTACCAACTTGAATGTTTACAGTAACTTAAGTTAAACCGTTTAATTATGGTGGTAAAGTTGGGATATCACACGAGGATTTTGATTATTTTCACCGGTTAACTAACTTTAAAATTCGTGTGGTGTCGCTCAGATGAGAGTGAACGATACCTTTTAATCACGATGTTAAATTAACACAACTTTGAAGAACCTTGTTTAGTTATATCTTCTGTCCATCCCATAGATTTCCCAATATGTAATCCACAAACTTGGAAGATCGAGCATAAAATGTTAACCTTTTCATATTTCTTATTTAATCTTTGAAATCTTAATTGAGTCCACTTTGTCATACAAAATATTCTGACTTGGAATAAACTCAATTTGGTTGTTTTTATCCTCTTACTTTAATCTTTATACTAATCTAGTAAAAATGAGTTTAGATGTACACTGATTTCTAGCTGATGATTATGTCAATGAGACAGATATTTAATGTCCATCCACTATCCAAAAGATACTTTAAACGTACTAATATGAAGTTAGTTGCCATTACAACAATAAATCAAATTACAGTAATAAATAAAAAAAACTACATCTAAATATACCAATAGATATGGATAGGTCTGTTTCTGAAGATCAACTAGATTAGCCATTATTCCACATCACCACCATCACCACCACATAATACCTGTCACTTTCCGAAAACAATAACTTCTAGTTCAGGTTCTTTTGAGTCATTAACTCCATTAGGCTTCACCTAAATAAAATCACTAGAGAATTGAATTCCATCAAATTGACTTCCCGATTTTTTCTTTTGATACCTTCTGCATTTCTGTTTTTTGAATGAACTGTTGCTTATATAACGTTAATCCTCGGATAGCCTAGTGGAAGGTCTCTGATTGTGAAGCTGGGTGAGAAAGGATCGAATCCGTCAGGGAGCACCAGTTCCCTCAAAATTACAGGTGCCAAATAGCACGAAATCTGCGTCCAGGATTTCCTGTTGACTACCTCCAACCACCATCTTATGCTAATCCTCATAGAAAATGTCATGATTACTTGTCATTTCCTTTCGAATTGTCTGATGAGTTAACCTGAAAGTAAAAATGCTTCGTTCCAGTGATATTTCCTTCATCTTTCATCAGTTTACATCCAACCGTGTTACGTACCTAATTGATAATGCATAGGAACTTCTGGATCAGTTGGTGACATAGAAGTATAATATACTTGAATGGAGTCATTAATAATAATAGTAGTAATAATAATACTTGAAATGAATTTCATTTAGCAGGTCAAAGTAATGGTGTTTACGCGCATATTTCATATTAGAATAAGTAAAGTTATTATCACAAGATCCACTAGGTAACTTTAGATAAGTATGATCAACGGTGAAAACTGATGACTGCCCATAAAAACTGACTGTTTCAATGAGGATGAAATCATTAGAGATTTTTGTGATGATAAAATTGGTTCACCTAACATCTTCACTTAACTTCAATTTATTAGGATAAATGAACTTTGAAACATTGTGAAATCCAGTACATTCGATGTTAAATAAATCTTCATATTTTGTTGTTCTAAGATCGAGTCCTACTCTAGGTGTCCAATTGAAGTCAAGATTGCATACTGAATTGAAACGTTACTAATTAAAAACTGGAAAAACATTTCATTCATTATCTAAGTTAAAGTCACCCGCCAATCTTGAAATTGTTTCTCTAGTTGCTCAATACCTAACTATACTGTATCACTGGATAAAAACATTTTTTAATCCTAAAACCTCACCGGATGTTATCAATGAAGACAAACTGATAATTATCAGTATGAAAATTTGTGGAGATTATAGTATTTTAACCGTTGAATTCACGAGTCATCAATGAAAACCTGGAAGCAGTAGACGGCCGTTCCCGCCTATTGTGTGTCTAAATTACAGTGGTTATCCACGATACCATTTCGCGAGATTCGAACTCAAGACCTATCAGTCTCGTGCACAAACGCTTAACCTCCAGACCACTGATCTGGAGTGCATCCAACGGTTTTAATGTCTAACTTTAATAAATCCACGAAATTGAGCGACATATTCACTCACTTACTATCTCACAACAGACCCTGTTGAACTCCACTAGTCACTGCTTCTCATTAGAACTCCAGAAAAAAACCTCTTGAATCCAATCACTAGTGAGCATATGTTGATTAATATGAGAATGGGTTTTTTTGTGGATATTATAGTAATTTCAAAATGTTCGATTGTCTCCATTCCTATATGTTGTTCACTACATTATCATCAGTCGTTTCCAATGATGAATAAACAATTCACTATTAAATAATATAACCATTTATTTATCTAGCAATAACAATATTTAATAATAAAATCACAACAAAACGAAACATAAAAGATCATTTGAATGGCTGATATACAAGAGAAAGAACAAAACAAAAAGAAAGAGGGAGAACATAGTTAACTATTGCATTTTATATTGTGTATGTGTGTTTTTTTGTATTTTTTTCCAACAAACACTGGTACATTCACATGAAGATATGAATAAAAGTACTGGCAAGAACAAAACAAAGAAATGATGAATACATTTTTTTAAAAAAACAAGGAGAACAATTATATTCAAGCTAATATACGTGTACAATTTCACCGATATCACTTCTATTAAATTATGTAATCATACTACTGATAAAATGATGAGTAGTTTCTGAAATCATGAAGAACTCACGTGACGTGTTATTCATTAACTCGAATTATTATTAGTAGTAGTATTAGTATTAGTATTATAAATCAATAATGGTTTATGATTTGTTTCTACGGTTAAATCATTCTCTGATAAATGACGTAATGATCTTGGTGCTGTACGTCTTGATAAAATCAATATATCTGTACCATCATAATCAGAATAATAATAATTAATATAATTAAATTTACATTTAATAATATTGATAACTTGTTTTTTAAATTTATTACATGTAAGAAAATAAATAAAAAAATTACATGCATAATGTGATGCACAAAATGCATCAATTAAACCTTTAGTTGTTATCCGTTGAAAAAATATTGTCCATTCATTTGATTGATGAATAGCTTGATCTGTTAAACAATCATCTGGTTGTAACCAATGAAATTGTATTAAATACATAATACCAGTTGGTACTGTACATGCAATTAAATAAAATGATAATATAATTAACATTAATGTAGCCGATATAAATTGAGTTGATTCCTTAGTTAAATGATCTTGTGTTGTATTCATTTGTATTGTTTTAATTGGACTAAAATTTGGTGTACCATCATCTCCTAATGATCCATCACGTTTATTATCATTTAAACCATCAGTAGTATTCGTAGTGTTACTTATTAAATTATGAGTAGTATGATTATTATTACTAAATTTTCTTCGTTTAAAGAATCGTTTATATGTAAATCTAGTTTTTTCATTATGAGTAGTATTTATAGTTGATGAGTTAATTGATTGATGCTTTGAAATTTTTAATAAATGACTTGATTTAATTAATCTTCTCATTTCACATAATACTAATATATTAAATATTAATGTAGCTAATGGTATAACTAATGAAAATAATACTTCTTGTACAAATAATAATGTTTGAAATTTTTCATCCATAGCTACATTAATACGCATACGACATTCACCATTATCATATGTCCATAATATAGCTTGTGATAATGTTGGTCCAATAATAAATAAAGATAAAATGAATACAGCTAATATAGCTCTTTTAGTTGTACATAATTTATGCCGTTTAAATGGGAAACATACAGCTAAATAACGTTCTAATGTAAAACCAAATACTAATACAATGGAATAATATTGTGTAAATATAAATAAACATTGAAATAATTGACATATACCCGGTATTATAATCACACCGCGTATACACCAATAACGTTCTAAATCATAATTTAATAATAATAATATAAGAATAAGATCAGTGATAGATAATGTAGCTAAATAAATAGCTGAACTATTCTTACGTCTTTGTTGTTTCGAGATCCATATTAAAAATGATAAAGAATTACCGAAAATACCACTAATTAACCAGATTAACATAAATATTCTTACAATATATAAAAAAATTGGCATAAATTTTCTTTGTAATTCACATTGTGGATAACGATCATAAATTGAAATTGGATCAATATTGGATTCATTTAATAAATAACGCATAGTACAATTTAAATGGATTGTATCGTTTAGATCGGTCATTATTTTTTTTGTTGTTGAAATTTTATTTATGGATAATGATCGATTTGTTTTGTTTATTGTTGTTGTTGTTGTGGTGGTGGTGGTGGTGGTGTTGTACAAAAGACGATTAATGAATATTAACAGTCGTAAGATACCTATGTGGAAACAAAAAAAAGCACAAAGATAATACAATAACAAAGTAGTTATAGACGATGTTAAATAAGTAACTGAAAATCATTAAACAGAATACTTTAAAGGTTAAAGTAATCTGATTTCAACTATAAGATGATGATAGGCTTGAAACGTTCTCAGTTTTTGAGTAGTTTTTTTAAAACTACTATCAGTAATATAAACAGTTTTGGTTGAAATCCAAATTGATGAATAAATCACAAATTACACACCATTTATCATAATTATACTTTGACGCTGTTGGATGCCAGCCGGTTAAGCGTTTGCATGCGAAATCGAAGGCCCTGAGTTCGAAGCTCATGAGGAGGATCGCAGATGCGCACTGCCACTGAGGAGCCTCACAGTAGGACGGAGTGACCGTCCAGTGCATCCAGGTTTTCAATGGTGCCCTAACTTCAATTGACTCATGATCTCAACTATTAACATTACTATAATATCCACAAAAACACCTGATATTAATTAACACATGCTCACTAGTGACTGGATTCAAGAGGTATTTTCTGGGGTTCTAGTGAGAAGCAGTGACTAGTTGTTGTAACGTGTGGACTGCAAGTTAGATGCACAGCGCATTTATCGATCGCTTCTGTGGCACGTAAACACGTAATGGACGCCCTAGAGTCTCGATTGGCCCTGCTTCTCTGTCTAGCCCAGCCAGTTGAGTCCAGAACACAAGTCACAGCCTCTGAGATATCAATCATTATATTTCAGACATACTCTGTTTATATACCAATCAACCAGACCACATCGTACCATAAAATAGAAAACAACATTTGTACAGTATTTAACAAGTGAAATAAATATCGGCCAATAGGGAGTGTACATTTAAAGTCCAAGGCCATCATTAGACTTAACATGATAATTATTGGTATATTTTTCTGAACATCCTAACACTAGTGGAGTTCAATCGAGTCTGTTGTTAGATAGTAACTGACTGAAGACAATGCAGAACGGTATTGCAATATGGATGATTGGTTGAAGTTAGACGTAAACACTATTGGATGCCGGTTCAGTGGTCTCGAGGTTAAGCGTTCGCATGTGAGACCGAAAGCCCTGGGTTCGAATCCTGCGAGCGTTGATACGCATTGCTAACGAGTCCCACAATTGGACGAAACGGCCACCCAGTACTTAGAGGTTTTCAATGGTGATCTAACATCAATCGGTTTGTGATCACAACCTTATACTGATAAAAATGATTTCCTAAACGTTGAGTATATTTATAATGTAGGAGTAATGGTCGAAAGTGTTTAAGCATATCAAGAGTGAAACACTTATCATAGCATACAATAAACGATAGTCATGCAATAATACAAAATGACTGAATTCCAATTAAATAATTCAGATTAAGTGGTATGAAGCCTATTTACTCATCCAGAGAATCAATAGTACGAGATTGGCCTAGTTGAAAACTCTCTATTTAGAAAACAAAACAACAATTAAATATTATCTGGTTATCTAATTACTACAGTTTATAAATGAAAATTGAATTCATATTGTATAAACGTGAAAAAATCTACACCCTATTTACTTTTATAACAGGAAAGTTTAACAGAAATCATATATTCAACATAATCTATTCTTAATTGCCCTCAAAGCACTACATATATTACCGACTTGAAATCTCCACAGTTTCATCGATTTTTCATAACATGTAGAAGTATTTAATCAGTTGGTGAAAATGAAATCAGTAATTACTTATCAAGTTTACATTTACAACATGTACGCTAAAGTGTTTTACTATGAGTAATTTATAATCAAATGCTATAAGTTACTTATATAACGATTGAAAACCTGATACTATTCACATGGACCCCTCTAAATTAGGTAGTAACAATTCTACCAATGATCTAATGTATGAATTTTAGGTTTCCAGTCAACAAATTTACTTTTAAACCATTGAATAGGAATACACATAATCTAGAATCAATCATAACTGATTAAAATTCGTTATCAAAACAAGATAAGAAAACACAAATGTAGATATTGGCTAGTAGTGGAATCCAGTTTGACACACATCTCGTCCTATTCGGCACTCGTCAACTAGATGTACTTGTATCTCAGAGTTGACATTCACTCTGGGACTCGAACCCATTATCGTTCGCTTCAAACGCCATCTCGCTATCTACTGCTAGCCACTATCCATTTCTTACAAGAAAAGACTGACGATATTGTTTGTAGTTACTCTGTGATAGGATACAAAAGGTTTTCATAATTACTCTTTACTAATGTATTAATTAAATGACTTTATGTGTTACTGTACACAAATTTACATTTGTGCATACATGGAAGAATTAACACAAAAAAATTTGATGAAATGAATTCAGTTTATCCTACAGTACTCCATCTGTAGCGTTTCTAAAGTTATTATCAGTCCCAAACTCGGGTAAAAAAAGAGGATCAGGCATACGATTAGCAACCATAACCCATAGAAACAAACTCTACAGTATTTGTTGTTCTTACTTCTAAAAATGGAATATGTAGTGAATGTTGTCGATTGCACTAAACACATCATTGATTCAATCTCATGGTATATGCGAAAGAAATTACAAAATAAATCAAGGTATTGAATTGAGATAAAAATTTTTTAAAAAGTTCTCATAATTTCAATTATCTCATCAACCAGTAAGATTATAATACACTTGCAATACTAACAAGTTACCAAGTGGTTACACCCAAAATCAATGATAATCTGAATATTTTGTATGTCTGTGTGTGCTGGTGGGTGGGTGTTTGGGTGTTTGTAGGTGTATGACCTATTTGCGTTAATTCACTACAAAAATTGATTGTGCTTCTCTTATTACTTAAATGAGTATTTTAAACTACTTTGATTGAGATTTATTTTATTTTATTTGATCTATCTATGTGTGAACAAGTAGATATAGATTAGACAACATGTTTAAACCTGACATTGTATATGGTTTATCAATTTGTTCTTTTTATTAACACAATCACGGTAGGGGTGTTGTTTACGAAATTGAGAGGACGAAAAGTGAATGCCCGACGCTTTAACCGGGTTGTTGGACACGGAGAGTCCACCGAGGGAAGTTGAAACACTCTCATTCCAAACCAATGGTGAACATGGGCTTCAGTATCGTGGAGGAACAAAAGGAGTATGAACCAATCGTTGGTCATCGGCTACCATGGGACAGAGTGTTCTGACAATGCTCGACTACCTCGTGGACCAGACCTTAAGGTCGAAGGTTCTGTGCGCGACTCCTTAAGAAAACCACCTTCTTCGGCTTGGACATCCGGGCAGTGTCGCAGCTTTCGCACAAATCAAATGAGATTTGTGTGGCGCATATGTATTTGGTGTCTCTTTGTACCAATATTTGTATGTTCAAATAAATAAATAAACAAAGTGACTCTTGTTAAGTATCTCTCAATGGATAGCAGTTAGAAATCGGAGGTATTAGGTACTAACCCAGACGTCTAGAATATAACATGCTCAATATGATACCTGAAATCCCTGGTTTCAAATCTTCATTTAAGTTTTAATTGTTCATTGCCAAAGCTATGGTTAGTCTAGTCCAAATTAATCTGTAGTGTAAGATACATATCATAAAAATTAAATTATATAATTAGGAAGCTAATACATAATGAGCAATTGTTCAATTGTAAATAAAGGAATTTAATTGTCCTTATTGTATATGACATGATTAGATTGTATTTCATACGCTAAACTTTATAGATAAGCCAAAAGGAGTCGAAAACTTAACTTTTAGGTTCTTGGGTACGAAAAGTAATGAATTACATTTGCATACTGCTCAAAATGTTTAAAATGATAGCGGGAAAATACAGTTTGAAGCCGTAAAGGATGAGTGGGTGTTAAACGTATGAAATGGCTAATTCTGTCTGTTTAGATTATCTATACCAGGTAAATCGACAACACCCTTAGATCTAATCCTTAAACTCTTAGTTTGGAAATAAACATTGAACTGATGGCATTACATTTTATTGATGAATTGATCAAATAACTTCACTTGTATTTTTGATTGAAATTCATCCACATGTCTGTAGAACATATTTACATTATAGCTGATGTCAATCAGTGATTAAAACTCCTACTCTAAATCACTAACCTTCACTCGAAATACCTAATTATAACTGGGAACAATATACAGCCTCTCAGAATCTGTTTAGGTCCCTGTAAGGATTTGAAAAAAAAGCAAAAAAGTACAAGTTTATATGTTGTTGATCTTTTGAATTACATACAGAGTAACCTGTTACCGTTAGCGTTTCTTTAGCAACTTTCTTTTTCTACGGGATGGGGTCGCTAACCCCATACCCAACCCTCCTCCTTTATCCAGGCTCAGGAACGGCAGTAGCCCCAGAGGGGCTCCGGGTGGAGTAATGTGTTACCGACATTATTAGATATATCAATTATTGTAAATTTTTCTGGTTAGCGTTTTTTAGCGAGAGAACAAACCAGCTTCCTGCTGAAGTGGAAATTAGGAGAGGAAGGAGAAAATGGATAGGACATACTTTACGCAAATCATCAAACTGCACCACGAGACAAGTCCTAACTTGTAATCTTGAAGGGAAGCAGAAGAGAGGAAGGCCAAAGAACACATTACGTCGGGAAATAGAAGCGAACATGAAAAAGATGAATAACAACTGGAAGGAGCTGGAAAGGATTGCTCAGGACAGTGTTGGATGGAGAGTGCTGGTGAACGGCCTATGCTCGTCCAAGAGGAGTAACAGGAGTAAGTAAGTAAGGTATTATTGTAAAATCAGTTCACATTTTGCAATTTCTTTTTCTTCTCCACAAATTAACCATTTAGGGAAACTGTTTCATTTAACTTGGTTGTATTTTTTTACTCGTTATCAAGTCGGTT